ACGGCTCACAATAACCTTGGCCTCCTGGGCTCAGATGAGCCTTCTGCCTCAGCTTCCCGAGTAGCTGGGACTACAGGCACATGCCACATCTTTCCAAGACTCATCTCACCTTTCTCTGACTTTGGGTTTCTTTTAACTTGATCCAAGGAAAAGGCGTCCCTGGTACCTCCTGGGTCCAAGTGAGTGCTGCTCTCTATGGGTGGATATTGTCTTAAGCGGTTTTGGCCCAGTATGGTGACTCACACCTGTAATTCCAGCACTTTGAGGGCCAAGGAGGGAGGATCACTTGAGACCAGGAGTTTGAAACCAGACTGGGCAACATAGCAAGACCCTCTCTACTAAAAAAAAAATTCCAAAGCCAGGTATGGTGGCTCACACCTATAATCCCAGCCCTTTTGGAGGCAGAGGTGAGGGGATTACCTGAGTTCAGGGGTTTGAGACCAGCCTGAGCAACATGGCGAGACCTCATCTGTACAGTAAACCAAAAAATTCAGCCGGGTACGGTGGCACATGCCTATGGTTCCAGCTACTTGGAAGGCTAAGGCAGAAAGATCACCTAAGCCCAGCAGGTTGAGGCTGTGGTGGCTATGAATGTGCCACTGCACTACAGCCTGGATGACAGAGTGAAAAACTCCAACTAAAAAAAAAAATCCCAGTCAGCTGATACATCAGTGCAGTGCAGCATTTCTACTCCTTTGCTCAGAAGCTTTGAGTATATTCCATTGCCTTAGTCTGGCATTCAAGGCTCTCTGTGACCAGCCCTTCATTTCCTTTTCAGGCACCTCTCTGTACTCTCTGACCACATCCTTTACTTTAGCCAAACTGGTCAATTTCCCCCAAACATCTGGCCCTCTGCCTTTACTCTCTTTGTCATTTATTTAAAAATCTCACTCCAAGATCTAGCCAAGCTTCACTATTAAAGCTGCCTGTGCCCTGTCTAGCCACAAGGACTTTTTATTTATTTTTTTCCTGCTCTGGCTTTTTTAGCTTTGTTAGCATGACTCATTCAACACCTCCCACATCCCTTGCATTGCGATATATCTTGTTCCTTCTTTTAACGTTTAAAACATTTTGGTAGCCAAAGTAATTTTTATTGTAAAAGGCCCAGACAGCACATCAATGCACAGAGTAGCAGGTAGAACTTGTCCCCTCTACTCTTGTCATTCCCATCCCCAGACATCACCATTCTCAGCTATTCGGTGAACATTAAGTACTTTTGTAAATACATGTCCCTACACACATTTGGGGAGGGGTTCAAATATAAATGGCACATAGCACATCTATTATTCTGCTACTTGCTGTCTTAAGAGTATATACATGCTGGGCACAGAGGCTCACGTCTGTAATCCCAGCACTTTGGGAAGCAGAGGTGAGAGGATTGCCTGAGCCCAGGGTTTGAGACCCACCTGGGCAACTTGGCGAGACCTTGTCTCTACAATAAAAACAAATTAGCTGGGCATGGTGGTGCATGCCTGTGGTCCCAGCTGCTCTGGAGATTGAAGTGGAAGGATCGCCTGAGCCCAGCAGGTTGAGGTTGCCATGTTCGTGAGCATACCACTGCACTCCAGCCTGGGTGATAGAGTGAAACTCCTACTCAAAAATAAAAAATAAAAAAATAAAGTATATACTTTATTTTATTTGTCTTTGAGATTTTCCACTTTAGTATAGTTAGATCTTCCTTTTTAATGGTTTCTCGGTATGTCATAGTATAATTTATTCAGAATAAAACATTTGTCTATAATTTATTCAGAATAAAACAGTTGTTATTTGGAGGTTATTGTGTGGCTTGGACCTGGGGAGCTCCAGACACTATTGCAGCTTTGTCCCTGCCATTGGTGAGCAGGCTCTGGGGGAAACAACGCGGGAATGGGGTATATGCAGGTAGCTGCAACACAAGGAAAAAGAATGTCCTCAAGTGTATGCCTGAAATTCAGAAATAGGGGAGGTCACTTCTAGCTAAAAGAATCAGGAGTTCACAGAGGAGACGATATTTGTGTTCAGCCTGGAGGGAACCTTACAGGTGAAGGAAAAGTGTGACGTTGGGCACAGAGATGGAAACACAAAATGTAGATTCATCTGATGCCAGACCACAGTTCAGGAGCAGGAAGCAGATTTTGTTCAATTCATAAACATTTAGTGAGCATTTAAGTGTCAGACACCATACTACCAATGAGGATTTAAAAATTGAGAAACATGAGGTTCCTGTCTCTAAAAGGCTTTCATATTAATGGGATAAAAACCAAATTTGGAGAAGTAGATTGGGGCCGGATAACAAAAGCTTTCAGTTGGCATGTCAAGGAGTTGGAATTTTATTCATTTGGGCAATGTGAAGCCATGATAGGCTTTTTAGGGGCAGGTGATATTACTGAAACTGTAGATGGCAGCAGTGTACAGAGTGGTCTAAGAGAAAGGCTGGGGATGAAGGGCTTATTGATCTTTAAAAACAAAACGGGCCAGCTCGGTGACTCAGCCTGTAATCTCAGCACTTTGGGAAGCCGAAGCGAGTGGATTGCCTGAGTCTGTGGGTTCAAGACCAGCCGGGGCAACTTGGTGAGACCTTGTCTCCAAAAATAAAACAAAAAACAGCTGAGCGTAGTTGCTCATGCCTGTAATCCTAGCACTTTGGGAGGCAGAGGTAAGAGAATTGCCTGAGCCCAGGAGTTTGAGACCAGCCTGGGCAACTTGGTGAGGCCTTGTCTCTACAATAAATAAAGAACTAGCTGGGTATGATGGTGTGCCCCTGTAGTTCCAGCTATTTGGAAGGCTGAGGTGGTAGGATCACCTGAGCCCAGTAGGTTGAGGCTGCTGTGACTGAGCATGCCACTGCATTTCAGCCTGGGTGACAGACGCTGACTCAAAAAAAAAAAAGGACGTTTATTTCTACAACTCTGTTAAAAGGTATCTGGTGGTAGGCAATCTGGGCTGGTATGGTAGCTCTCCAATTATTAGGGACTTTAGTCTTTTTCTGCTTCACCATCCTACCACACAGTTTCCATTCTCATGGTTACCTTATGGTCTAATTCGGCCACTAGTGCTTAATTCATCTCATATACATTCTGGGTGGCAGAAAGAAGGAAGGAAAGATGATTGAGGGGAGGAAGAGGATCATAGAAGAACACACTTTCTAGCTAAAACTCCCTTTGGGGGGCCTTCCTGGAAACCCATGACAATACTTCCAGCATTTCTGTTTATGTCTTATTGGCCAGAACTTAATCAGATGGCCTTATTCAGCTTTAAGGGAGACTTGGAAATGTAGTTTTGAGGAATTTTTTGTTTTGTTTTGTTTTAACTTTTGTCTTTTTAAAACTTAATTTTATTTTGGTGCCATGACTCGGATATGTACTTTTTTTTTATTTTGAGGTATAACTTGCATATAATGAAATGTACAGATCTTAAGCATACAGGTTGATAAGTTCTGACAAAAGTGTACACCCATGTAACCCATATCTATCTTAAATTTAGAGCATTCCATCCTCTCCCCAGAAATTCCTCCCTACTGAGGGGGTTTTCTTTAAAAAAAAAAAAAAATACAGGCCGGGCCTGGTAGCTCACACCAGTAATCCCAACACTTTGTGAAGCAGAGGCTAGAGGATTGCCTGAGCCTGTGAGTTCAAGTCCAACCTGGGCAACATGGTGAGACTTCATTTCTACAATAAATAAAGTAGCTGGGCATGGTGGTGCACACCTGTAGTTCCAATTACTTGGAAGGCTGAGGCGCTAGGATCACTGCACTCCAGCCTGGGCGACAGAGTGAGATTCCAACTCAAAAAACAAAAACAAAAACAAAAGAGAGATGATAAAGGTTTAAGTAGGGTAGTAGCTATGGGAATGGAAAGGAAGTGCTGGAGTGACTGTGGAAGGAGAATCCAAAGACGATGTGGATGTGGAAGATGAGAGACAATCAGAATGCTGGTAGCAGAGGCACTCACAGAAACAGGAGATTGGGAGGAAGTCTGGGTTGTACAAGGTGGGATGGAAGGAGGAAGGAGGTGTACAGTAGTGGGTGAGGTTGAGATGCTGACTGAACATCCAGGTGTGATACCCCACTGTGTCTAGAGCTGGGGAGGGCAGTCAGAGCTCAAACACCAGAGTGATGCTAAAGAGGACAAGGAACCAAGAAATGACCCAAGAATTTGGTGAATCCAGACTCCAAGGCCTGAGTAGTGAGGGTTTAAATCATGCAGAAGGGCCAGGTAGGATCACCTGAAGTAATTTTTTAAATCTTTCCACAGTCATAAAAGGGTTATGTGTCTTGCTTTTTTTAGAGGTTTGTTGATTAAAGGAGGAAGGAAAAGACCAGGCAGGGATTTGCCCCCCGCCCCTTTTTGAGTTGGAGTCTCACTTTGTCACCCAGACTGGAGTGCCACCGCAGCCTCGACCTGTTGGGCTCCAGGGATCCTTCCGCCTCTGCCTTCCAAGTAGCTGGAACTACAGGCACGCGCTACCACGCCCAGCTAATTTTTGATTTATTGTAGAGATGAGGTCTCGCCAAGTTGCCCAGGCGGGTCTCGAACCAGCGGGCTCAGGCAATCCATTCACCTCAGCTTCCCAAAGCGCGGGATTACAGGCTGAGTCACCGAGCCCGGCTTGCCCCATTTTTATGGAAAGACAACCCCTTGCTCTTTTCAGCTTTCCAAAGGACAGCGTCCTGCCTTCTTTTGAATATTTGGAAGGATCGCCTGACCCCAGCAGGTGGAGGCTGTGGTGGCTGTGAGCGCGCCCGTGAGCGTGCCGCCGCTGCACTCCAACCTGGGCGACAGTGAGAATCATACTCGTTTAAACTCCAGAAATTCAAGCTGAAGGGGTGGAGGTGGGAGAGCGAATGCCGCCCTTGGCAACTGCCTGGGTGGGGTGAGCCAGCCAAACACTCCCAGGATGGATGTGGGGAGACACAGCTTAGAGGAAAGAGCAGAGAGCAAACACGCGGGACTCAGGCAGTCCTAGGTTTGAATTCTGTCGGTGTCACCACCTAGCCTGATGACCCTGCGTAAGTAACAACCTGAGCGACGCGTTCCTTACCTGTAAAATGGAAGAAATTATGCCTACCTTTTCGGGGTGTTTTGGGGATTAGAGACTAGCTCCTGGCACGCAGTAGGTAGTCGTAAACGCGTGCTCTTACGTGGCCCAACCCTTCGCTGTGGGACAGAACGGCTTAACGGACCGGTCAGAATCTGCGACCTCCGGATCTTGGGGGGTGCAGAGGGCTCCCGCGGCCTCCTTCTCTAGGAGGTGGGGACAGGGTGGAGGAAGGGCTGCAGAAGGAGGAGCTCGCTCATCGCGACCCGCCCCGTCCCGTCCAGTCTGGCCTGGGCGCCGAGGCAGCGCTGTCCCGGCCGCCGCCACCCGACCTGCCTGTGCTGGTGCCCCGGTGCCCTGCCCACGTCCAGTCATGACCCTGCGCCCCTCACTACCGCTCCGTCTGCTGCTGCTGTTACTGCTCGGTGGGGCGATGTGCCAGGCTGAGGCTGGGCTCGAAACCGAAAGTCCCGTCCGGACCCTCCAAGTGGAGACCCTGGTGAGGAGAGTGTCTCGGCCCCTAGAACCCCCGGGGCTGGGCCTTGTAGGGGGAATGCCGGGGTCTTCACGAACCCGGGAGCGGGGAGGAGAGGAAGTGCGGGATCTGAGTTGGCGGGTACTGGGTCCAGGGGCGAGAGAACGGGATATTTGGAGGAGCATCCGTGAACCCTGAAGTCCGATCGTAGGTGGAGCCCCCCGAACCGTGTGCGGAGCCCGCAGCCTTTGGAGACACGCTTCACATACACTACACGGTGAGGGGGTCAGGGGGCCTGGGCGGGGCCTGGGAGGGGGCGGCGCCCAGCTGAAACACGTCAGCTTTGGCTTGGACACGTGGCAAGCGGTTCAGGGAAGGAAACTCGGGGCTCTGGGGTCGTCGAGCACGTGGCTGGGGGAGGGGCGCTGCTCTTCCCTGTCTCTCTCCCCTCCCTGCTTTTCCGCCAGTTTCTACCTAAGTGCAGGGTGGAGAGATCTCCGAGAAGTGCCAGCCCTTCGGGGCTTCCTGTTCCCTTCTGCCCTAAGGGGAACGCGGCTGCAGCTGTTAAGGGATTGCCGCCGCCCAGCGGTCCAGGTGTGTGTTGCGCCTGCCGGAGGGTGAGGCGCTAGGTGTTTGCTCTCCATGCTCTCCCCCAGGGCAGCTTGGTAGATGGACGCATTATTGACACCTCCCTGACCAGAGACCCTCTGGTGATAGAGCTTGGCCAAAAGCAGGTGATCCCAGGTACGTGAGCTGTGCCTCCCATTCCTATCCCCAGCTAAGCCCGTTCTTAGCCTCCCCAACCCGAAGCTGCCCTGGAAATGACCCCCTGGCATGAGTAAGACCCTAGGGCATTACTAGTTACTTCCTGAGGTTCAAACCCCAGTTCTAATACTCCTCTTGTCCTATGCCCCCTGGAAGCCAGGGATTTAAGAATCGGGGAAAAGCTCAACTGAGGATCACAGGGGACACTTTGATCTCCTTGGTGGGATTTGAGAAATATGGATAGTTTCCAGTTCAGTTGTGTCTTCTTCCTCAAGGTCTGGAACAGAGCCTTCTAGACATGTGTGTGGGGTGAGTATCTGGGCAGGGGTGGGTCTGGGTACCCCCTTTGCATGGGTAGATGCTTTCTCTGCTGTCCCTACTCAAGAAGACAGGAGACTGTGGGATAAAGGACCCTGCCACACTGGATGGGTCTGCATCAGTGGGACCCATCAGGGCATCCAGAACCTCTGTGCCACCCCTCCTGCTGTTGGTTTTACTGGAGGAATTGGGGCATGTGGGATGATGGACACCTTTGCTGGCCAACCTGTTTTGGATGTGACTATCCAGGGGGTTTTGCTGGTGGAGCTTCAGATGGACTGAAGCTGCTGGCCCACCTTCCTCACGTTCCTTTCCTCAGAGAGAAGCGAAGGGCAATCATTCCTTCTCACTTGGCCTATGGAAAACGGGGATTTCCACCATCTATCCCAGGTAATCTGCCTAGGCCTGCCTCCCAGGTCATCAAAATACCTTGTCCCTAAGAGCTACAAGGAGCTATGCACTTTTTCTGAAACTTAAGAAAGTTCAGACTAAGTTTGCTGAGACAGACAGGAATGGTTGGGACCTCCTTCTGCAGGGCCACTCTTTTCTCCTCCTCAAATCACCAAGAGGGACTAGAGACATAACCTGATAAGGTCACCTGACTTGACCTGAGGCAGCCAGTGACTTTTTAGGGAAGATCACCTGCTTGGTTTATGCAAGTCGTCTGCTGCCGTGACACCCCTCCCAGAACATTGGGATTTCTTTCCTGCCCTTTTCCTATGACACTGTCTCATTTGTGCTGGCATGGCTTCTTACCACATACCCTGCCCTGCCTTCCTTTCAGCCTCCATTAGGGAAGAGATAGTAAAAATAATCACAGTCAAGTAATTCAAAACAAAGCAAAAAGCAGCTTTTAAAGCCAAGTCCGCCAAGTGTGGTGGCTCACACTTGTAATCCCAGCACTTTGAGAAGCAGAGGTAGAGGATTGCCTGATCCCAGGAGTTCAAGACACAAGTCTGGATGACTTGGCAAGACCTCATCTCTACAACAAATCAAAAAAATTAGCTGGGCATGGTGGTGTGCACTTGTAGTTCCAGCTACTTGGAAGGCTGAGGCAAAAGGATTGCCTGAGCTCAGCAGGTTGCAGTAGCTGTGTGAGTGTGTACTGTACACCAGCCTGGGTGATAGAGTGAGACTCCAACTCATAAATAAATAAATAAATAAATAAAAAGCCAAGTCCACCCCATAACTTTAAAAGTCATTATAGGTCATTATTGAAGGACTGGGACTGGACAGATTTTCCAAGATGTATATATCTTGCTTTTGGTAATAACAACAAATGTTCTATTAGCTAAAATGTGCTGTATGCCACAGAATACTGGGATCATAATTCTTATGCTTAGGAGGCTTAGGGGGACCAAGGAGAAACTCTTACCCACAGTTTTATTACATCCCATCCCTGAGGCTCATCTGCTTTTGTTTGCACCTCTTCCCCCACTCATCCCTGTTACACCTACCCCTTTACTTCTTTGTTTTGTTTTGTTTTGTTTTTGAGTTGGAGTCTCACTCTATTGCCCAGACTGGAGTGCAGTGGCCGCTCCTGGCCACCACAGCCTCGCCTGCTGGGCTCCGGCGATCCTTCCGCCTCAGCCTTCCAAGTAGCTAGAATTACAGGTGCGCGCTACCACGCCCGGCTGATTTTTTGATTTATTGTAGAGATGAGGTCTTGCTGCCCAGGCGGGTCTCGAACCCGCGGGCTCAGGCAATCCACTCACCTCAGCCTCCCAAAGGCGCGGGATTACAGGCTGAGCCACCGAGCCCGGCTGTTTTTTGTTTTTTTAGTCGGAGTCTCACTCTGTAACCCAGAGTGGAGTGCAGTGGCACTCTCACGACCACTGCAGTCTCGACCTGCTGGGCTCAGGCGATCCTTCCACCTCAAACTTCAAGTAGCTGGAACTACAGTCATGCGCCACCACACCAGCTAATGTTTGTTGATTTATTGTAGAGACGAGGTCTCGCCAAGTTGCTCAGGCTGGTCTTGAACCCCTGGGCTCAGGCAATCCTCTCACCTCCACCTCCCAAAGTGCTGGGATTACAGGTGTGAGGCACCACACCCAACCTTTATTTATTTATTTATTGTAGAGACAAGGTCTTGCTAAGTTGCCCAGGTCTCAAACCCCTGGGCTCAGGCAACCCCAAAGTGCTGGGATTATAGGCATGAGCCACCGTACCCAGAGTTTGGTAGAATTTTTAAAAGTCTAGTTTAAATCCAATTTTAGTCTGGCAAAGATTCTATCCTTGTAGCTGTTTGGAAGTGGGATACAGTTAGCATAGAGGGCTCTGTCACCTTTAAATGGAGAATAGTCTGTACATTTCTTTCTTTCTTTTTTTTTTTTTGAGTTGGAGTCTCACTCTTTCACCCAAGCTGGAGTACAGTGACACACTCACGGCCACCACATTCTTGACCTGCTGGGCTCAGGTGATCCTTCCACCTCAGCTTTCCCAGTAGTTGGAACTATAGGCGTGCTCCACCACACCCAGCTAATATTTTGATTTATTGTAGAGACGAGGTCTCACCAAGTTGCTCAGGCTGGTCTTGAACCCCTGGGCTCAGGCAATCCTCTCACTTCAGCCTCCCAAAGTGCTGAGATTACAGACGTGAGCCACTGTGCCCGCCTGAGTCTGTACATTTCATATTCACAAAAGTTTGCCTGTGCTGTCAAAGACCTGTCACTGAACCCAAGATACAGTTGGGGTCAACATGACTATTGCTAGACTCTGTTCACAGTCCTCTGTTTTTGTCTAAGGGAGTTCAACCCTACATTTATATCTTGCTAACTTCACAGTTATTGACTTTGCTGTAGCCCATCCTTTTTTTTTTTTTTTTGAGTTTGAATCTCACTCTGTCACTGGAGTGCAATGGCATGATCACAGCCACGGCAGCCTCGAACTGCTTGGCTCAGACTATCCTTCATTCTCAGTCTCCCAAGTACCTGGGACCACAGGTGCACACCACCACACCTGGCTGATTTTTTAATTTGTTGTAGAGATGAGATCTCACCATGCTGCCCAAGCTGGTCTCAAACTCCTAAGATCAGGTAATCCTCTCGCCTCAGCCTACCAAAGTGCTGGGATTATAGGCACGAGGCCAACATTCAGATTCTGAGCCTGGATAAAATGCATCGAGATTCTAACCCTTTCTTCCCTCTGCCTTTCCAGCGGATGCAGTAGTACAGTATGATGTGGAGCTGATTGCACTTATCCGAGCCAACTACTGGCAAAAGCTGGTGAAGGGCATTTTGCCTCTGGTGGGCATGGCCATGGTGCCAGCCCTTTTGGGTCTCATTGGGTATCACCTATACAAAAAGGCCAGCAGACCCAAAGTCTCCAAAAAGAAACTCAAGGAAGAGAAACGAAACAAGAGCAAAAAGAAATAATAAATCATAATAATTTTTAAAAAACCTTTGCATTCTTCACCTTATGCTTTCTGAGGCTGCTTTTGTAAGTGGAAATGAGGTAAAAAGCTGAAGAAAGAGGCACTCTGAGTTGGATCTTGCCTGGCATTGGGGTGGCTGGAGGCCTGGGATCACCTCTTCCCCTGGCCTCGTGCTGTCTTAATTTTCCCCTGGTCTTGAATCCTCCCATAGGACCTCTAGGTCTGGAGCACGGGTTTTAGCTCCCATGGTGCCCTGACTCCAGGGAGCAATGTTTCATTGAACAGTAAGCCTGCTAGCTGCCCAGCCATTCTCTCCACTCTCAGGGGCCACTCTATTCCTGGAGTCCAATATGGCAGATATATAAGGAGTTCATAAACTCCACGGGAATTTTTAATAGCAAAATCCTCAGATCTCAAAAAAAAAAAAAAAATCTGGGGGTTGAAAAGAGATCCTTGGATCACAGGATGTGGGAGATCACGTGAGCTGCTTCAATGACGTTGTAAGTGGTTGGAGGTTGTTTGTCACCAGTGTGGGCTATAGGTGCGGACAAGGGCTGGGGTACATTGCTTCGGTGGTTGACTATGAAAAGCGGGTTGAGCTGGCTCAGCACTTCGTCACTCACTGAGATGCCATCCAAGTATTGCTTCAGCATCTCCCGCAGCTTCCCATTGATTTCTAGCAGCTGGGCTTGTCTCTGTTGGAGGCTCAGCTGCTCCAGTTTCACTTTGTTGTACCTTTTCCAGAAATTCTCCATCCCTATGTAGTCCACCATCACCTGGGAGTTGAGTGACAGGGAGAAGTTTACATACTGGGCCCCATTAGCAAACGCTGCCCAATGCACCATCATTCCCCAACCTTTACCTTTGCAAGCGCCTCAGTGAGCTCTTCTGGGTGATGCTCAATCTCTTCCTTAGGAGTTAGTACTGATGAATAAAAAGGTAGCACTTTTTCTTCCTCTGTTTCAAATTTCCTACATACTTCGGCAAGTTTAAGAATCTTTTCACCCTATTGGAAGCAGGAAAAGACTTGATGTTAGGGAGTGGAGAGGAGAGGTCGTGGAGTTGGTTTACCCACTTGAACCCAAGGAAGTCATTCACCCAAATGGGAGAGACAACAGCAACGAAGACATTGAACACAGAGTGCTTACTATGTAACACTCAGGTAGTTTATATTCTTATAACGTTAACTCAGTAAGAATTCATTTCAGCCGGGCTCGGTGGCTCAACCTGTAATCCCGGGCTTTGGGAGGCCGAGGTGAGTGGATTGCCTGAGCCTGCGGGTTCGAGAGCCGCCTGGGCAACTTGGGCGAGACCTCATCTCTACAATAAATCAAAAAAATTAGCCGGGTGTGGTAGCGCGCGCCTGTAGTTCCAGCTACTTGGGAGGCTGAGGCGGAAGGATCGCCAGAGCCAGCAGGTCGAGGCTGCTGTGGCCGGGAGCGGCCACTGCACATGAGATAAAAAAGATATTCCAAGTGGCTCTTCAGGCAGGAAGTAGGAAGAAGTCTCCACCCCTCTCAAATCCCTTTCACCTTGCAGGGAGCCAGGTGCCTTTATTCTGACTGCATCTCCTTTATGTTACCTTATCGACAATCTTTCTCAGGGCCTTAAGGGTGGCGTTACTTTCCACGGTGAGTTTGACTAAGTTCTCCTGGGATGCTGCCCGTGCTTGAGTCCTTTGGGCCTTAAGTTTGTGCAGTTGTACAAGAACTAATTCCTTGTCATTACGGATATACTGGTTCTGTTCTTCACTCTCACGGCTGTGTATCATGATCTTGCCTTTTGAAATAGTTATGGCATCCTGGAGGAACAGAGAGGATTAGAGAAAACATTTGGCCAGCTGAGGGTCTTCAGTGAGAGAGGTAAAAGGGCTGCCAAGGGATGAAATCAGAGTATGTCATCTTTTCCCAACCAGTGATCAGCAATGAGGCCCCATGATACCCAGCTGAAGTTGGGGCAAGACGAACGGGAGATAACTGAGCAGTTAAGGCAGTGTCTGGGGTCAGATACACTAACCTGTAGTTTCTGTATTTTTTTCATCTGTGCTTCAATCTCTTTGGAGCTCTTCTCGTCCTTCACTTTCAGGGTCTCGAAGGCCATCTTTCGATCCTCTGTGGCCTCAGTGTAATTTTTGAGTGCATCCTGGAACCGTCTCCATAGATCTTCCACTATATTCTCCAGTTTTAGCCTTAGAAAGTGCTTCTCTTCTAAATTCTAGGAAGTGGCCCCAAAAAACCAATGTTTGGAATTACCCTAGTAGTGCCCTTTTGCTTCCACCAGTAACCTCACTCTCCTGAACTGCTTGTAGCATAGTTTGGTGCAGAGGTCAGGAAAATGTCTGAGAGATCAGGCAGATGATAAAAATAAGTGTTGTGGGCTGGGTGGGGTCTATGGCAAACTGAAGAGGAAGCACTCCATCTGGAAGTGGGGAGATGCAGTTGCTATCTCCACATGAGTGTTGCCATTTTGGAAATGTGGCCCAATGTGGCCAGGTCTTTATGTTTTTTAAGAGAAGCTGAATATTTGGATTTTTATGTTAAATCGCTCCAATTTTCATTTGTTTTTTATTTCTATTTTTTGAGTTGGAGTCTCACTCTGTTGCCCAGGCTGGAGTACAGTGCCACACTCATGGTCACCACAGCCTCGACCTCCTGGGCTCAGGCGATCCTTCCACCTCAGTCTTCCAAGTAGCTGGAACTACAAGCACACACCACCACACCCAGCTAATTTTTTGATTTACTCTAGAGACGAGTTCTTGCCATGTTGTCCAGGCTGTCTTGGACCCCCGGGCTCAGGCAATCATCTTGCCTAGGCCTCCCAAAGTGCTGGAATTACAGGTGTGAGCCACTACACCCGGCCTAAATTGCTCCAATTTTTAAATGTGGGATACTTATTTAAAATTTTTATAAAACACTGTGGGATAAAATAAAAACAAAGAAGCTAAGACCCAAACCTAGGTCTGCAGGCTGGGTAAGTTTGCAACCTCCAGGGTGGCAGAAAGTGTTTTGGGTCAAGGGGCAGAAAACCTAGATGCTCTTTCTGGCTCTACCACAAACCAGCAGCATGACTCTGGTAGGTCATTTTACTTCATTGGGCCTTGGTTCCTCCATCTGCAAATCACAGGGGTGAAGCCCCATGATCTTAGTGCTTTTTTTTTTTTAGTTGGAGTCTCACTCTGTCACCCAGACTGGAGTGCAGTGGCCGCTCCCGGCCACCACAGCCTCGACCTGCTGGGCTCCGGCAATCCGTCCGCCTCAGCCATCCAAGTAGCCAGAATTACAGGCATGCGCTACCACACCCGGCTGATTTTTTTATTTATTGTAGAGATGAGGTCTCGCTGCCCAGGCAGGTCTCGAACCCGCGGGCAAAGGCAATCCACTCACGTCAGCCTCCCAAAGGCGCAGGATTACAGGCTGAGCCACCGAGCCCGGCTGATCTTAGTGCTTTTTAACCCTAAAATGTATTCCCTTTACGTTTTAGAATGGTCCTCCCTCCTGACCAGTCTTCACAAAATTACAAAAAGCAGCAGGAATATCTTCAGTGGCAACAGACTTTTTATTGACTGTTGACAAAAGGGGGTCTCTCTAGCTCTAGTGACCTTAAGCATTTTTCTCTCACTTCTTTCCCAGTTCTTGCCCAACTGCCTTCCCTCTGTACCTTGTTTTTGAGATCATCCCACATGCTCTGGAACTCCAGCTTGCTTTCATACTCAGAATCTATATAGTTCTGTTCCATGGCCCTGAAGACATCTTGCAGATAGTGAATCTCTTTCTCATGTTGGTCAGTAATTGTCTTCCTGTAGGAGACAAGACACTGACCCTACTCGAACAATGACAACAACTCAAAGCAGTATGTAATAAAACTATATGAATAGTACAAACTCTTAGGTACTGATGGAGAACTGAGAGAGAGAGAGCCCTATTCTTCTTAGGGATAGAATGAATGAATATGGTTATTTTTATTTTTTATTTTTTTGAGTCAGGGTCTGTCACCCAGGCTAGAGTGCAGTGGCATGATAATGGCTCATCATAGCCTTGTCCTCCTGGGCTCAGATGATTCTCCCAAGTACCCTCCCAAGTAGCTGGGATTATAGGTGTATGCCACCATGCCTGGCTAGTTTTTTTGTTTCTTTGTTTGTTTGTTTTGAGTTGGAGTCTCACTCCATCGCCCAGACTGGAGTGCAGTGGCTGCTCCCAGCCACCACTGCCTCGACCTGCTGGGCTCCGGCAATCCTTCCGCCTCAGTCTTCCAAGTAGCTGAAACTACAGGTGCACACTCCCACGCCCGGCTAATTTTTGATTTATTGTAGAGATGAGGTCTCGCCAAGTTGCCCAGGTGGGTCTCGAACCTGCAGGAGCAGGCAATCCACTCACCTCAGCCTCCCAAGGTGCAGGATTACAGGCTGAGTCACTGAGCCTGGCTACCCGGCTAGTTTTTAAAAATTTTTTTGTAGAGGTCTCACTATGTTATCTAGGCAGATATTTTGATTTTTAAATAGGTAATCCATTCATATGATACAAAAATAAAAATACAGCCGGGCTCGGTGGCTCAGCCTGTAATCCTGCGCCTTGGGAAGCTGAGGTGAGTGGATTGCCTAAGCCCGTGGGTTCGAGACAACTTGGCTGGACCTCATCTCTACAATAAATCAAAAAAATTAGCCAGGTGTGTTAGTGCATGCCTGTAGTTCCAGCTACTTGGAAGGCTGAGGCGGAAGGATCACCAGAGTCCAGCAGATCGAGGCTGCGGTGGCCGGGAGCGGCCACTGCACTCCAGTCTGGGTGACAGAGTGAGACTCCGACTCAAAACAAACAAACAAACAAAAAACAAAAATAAAAATACCAAAGGTTACAGTGAGAAGTCTCCCTCCCACCCCTGTTCCCTACCAGTTGGGTAGGCTTTTTTTTTTTTTTTTGAGTTGGAGTCTCATTCTGTCACCCAGGCTGAAAGGCAGTGACATGCTCTTGGCTACCGCAGTCTTGACCTGTTGGGCTCAGGTGATCCTTTCGCCTCAGCCTTCCAAGTAGCTGGAACTACAGGCTCATGCCACCATGCCCTGTTAATTTTTTGATTTATTGTAGAGATGAGGTCTTGCCAAATTGCCCAGGCTGGTCTCGAACCCGTGGGCTCAGGCAGTCCTCTCACTTTGGCCTCCCAAAGTGCTGGAATTATAGGTGTGAGTTACCACGCCTGGCCACGTTTTTTTTTTTTTTTTCTTGAATCTCACTCCATCTCCCAAGCTGGAATGCAGTGTCACTTCACAGCAACCACACAGCCTTGACCTGCTGGGCTCAGGTGATCTTTCTGTCTCAACCTTCCAAGTAGCTGCAACTACAGGTGTGTGCCACCATGCCCTGCTAATTTTTTAATTTATTGTTGAGATGTTTTAGAGACAAGTTCTTGCCATATTGCCCAGGCTGGTCTTGAATTTCTGGGCTCGGGTAGTTCTTTCACCTTGGCTTCCCAAAGTACTGGGTTTATAGGCATGTGCCACCGTGCCCAGCCTTGAGTAGGATTTTGACAGCTGAGTGGTTTGTAAAAGTAATTTGAGGAGATAAATTTTAAAAAAGAAAGCTGAAAAGTAATACAAATAAAACATTAAAGAAAAAAATGGCCGGGCTCGGTGGCTCAGTCTGTAATCCCAGCGTTTTGGGAGGCTGAGGTGAGTGGATTGTCTGAGCCCAAGGGTTCAAGACCCGCCTGGGCAACTTGGCGAGACCTCATCTCTACAATAAATAAAAAATCAGCCGGGCATGGTAGTGCGTGCCTGTAATTCCAGTTACTTGAAAGGCTGAGGCGGAAGAATGGCTGGAGCCCAGCAGGTCGAGTCTGCAGTGGCCAGGAGTGGCCACTGCACTTCAGTCTGGATAACAGAGTGAGACTCCAATTCAAAAAAAAAGAAATAAAAAGAAAAAAATAGTGAAAGAAGAAAGTAAACAAAAAACAAAAACAGCAAAAAGAAACTGGGTGGTGAAGGCATACAGATGGAGTCTGGCAAAAGTAAAGGGAAGGTAAAGTCACAAACTTATACCCAAGGTTATTTAAAAGAAACTCAGAGCCGGTCTCAGTGGCTCAGCCTGTAATCTGGCGCTTTGGGAGGCTGAGGTGAGTGGATTGCCTGAGCCTGCAGGTTCGAGACCCGCCTGGGCAACTTGGCGAGACCTCATCTCTACAATAAATCAAAAAATTAGCCGGACATGGTAGCACGCGCCTGTAGTTCCAGCTACTTGGAAGGATGAGGCAGAAGGATCGCCGGAGCCCAGCAGGTCAAGGTTGCGGTGGCCAGGAGTGGCCACTGCACTCCAGTCTGGGCGACAGAGTGAGACTCCAACTCAAAAAAATAAAAATAAATAAAAAAATAAAAGAAACTCAGGATTTTCTCTGCTGGGATCATGGGACAATCAAGGTGGGATGCTCCAAGGTCGTAGCCACTTGCTTACAGGCAACTCCTTGACACAGACCCTGGGCATTTTCCTGGATTCAATTCCCCATCTCCTCTTAAGTCCCCATACCTTTCTGTCTCAAACTCCTTGGTTAGGGCCTCCAGCTCCATGTTGTAACTTTCCTCCAGGAGGCTGAGCCGGTGCCTCTGTAGGGCCAAGAGCTGGTCAACATTGTGCAAGTGGCTGCGCAGGGCATGGGCGTACTGTTCCTCGGCTTCTGATAGGTCTTTGGCTAAAGACTGGGCAAGAAAGAGAGAGATCATTCTAGATGAGTGGCATCTGTGTGAGAAAACAAAAATGTATTCAGCTGGCTAGTTGGCAGTTTTTTCTCAGTTCCTGATGCCAGTTCTCTGGCTTTAGGAGTGCTGGCTCTCCCATATCTTTTTTTTGAGTCAGAGTCTCACTGTGTCACCCAGGCTGGAGGGTAGTGGCATGCTCACGGCCACTACAGCCTCGACCTGCTGCACACAGGCGATTTCCTCGTCAGCCTTCCATGTAGCTGGAACTACAGGTATGTGCCACTAAGCCCGGCTAATTTTTCTTGATTTATTGTAGAGATGAGATCTTGCCAAGTTGCCAAGGCTGGTCTCGAACCTGTGGGCTCAGTCAATCCTCTCATGTCGGCCTCCCAAAGTGCTGAGATTGTAGGTGTGAGCCACTACGCCTGGCCTTTTTTTTTTAGAGACAGGGTCTCACTCTATCACCCAGGCTGGAGCAGTAGTAGCACAATCATGACTCATTGCAGCCTTGAATTCCTGGGTTCAAACAATCCTTCCACCTCAGCATCCCAAGTAGCTAGGACTAGAAGCATATACCACTACACTTGGCTAATTTTTTAAAAATTATTTTTTGTAGAGATGGGATCTTACTGTGTTGTCCAGGTTGGTCTTAAACTCCTGGACTCAATGATCCTTCCTCTTCGGGCTCCCAAAGTGCTGGAATTACAGGTGTGAGCCACTATGCCTAGCCTCCTCACTCTTGAATGTAAAATAATAGTGATGTCAAGAAATCCCATGAAGCTAGACAGTGTCCTGTGGACAGCTATTTTCAACAATGGGGCTACTACTAACAGGAATCAAGGATTCTTGGAGAAGTGGTTGCTTTGAGGTCTGAGACAGAAAATAAGTATAACATAGGCTATGTTATCATACATGATAGCAAAGAAGATACCAAATATCAGAAGGACTCAGGAACAAAATGAAGAGGCTCATGATGGCAGATTATATTTTCCTAAGAAGAGCAATATATCCTATCTTAGAATTTTCTGCAATGTGACTTGCCATTCCCCCATCAAAAGGAAGAATATCTTCTTCCATCTCCTTGAATTTGGGCCCATGTTGCACTACTTGAATCAACAACATGGTGAAAGTGACACTGTGCCAGTTCCAGGTATAGCCCTTGATTGACCTGGTGACTTTTGCTTCTTGTCCTTGGAATGCTTGTTCTTGGGATGTTCCCTCCAGGAACCTTATCATTATGCTGTGATAGGTACAGTGTACATGGAGAGGCCACGCACATGAAAGCATTTGAGTCAACAGCCCAGTTGAGCTCCCAGCTGACAGCCAGAATCAACTGCCTGCCATCTTGAACATCCATTCCAGTCAAGCCTTAGATGACCGCAGCCCTAAATGATATCTGACTGAAAACTGTTTTTACTTAAGAGACCCAAGGAAAAACCACCCTGAGCTCAATCAACCTACAAAACATAAGGTTTATAATAAATTGTTATTTTAAGCTACTATTTTAGGAGTAGTTTGTTATGTAGTGGTAGATAACCAGAACACTTCCAGTGGCAAAAAAGCAAGTTTGAGTATCAATAAGGATACATTCAATACTGCAATGTACTGAAAAGTATCAGCTCACACCTATAATCCCAGCACTTTGGGAGGCTGAGGTGAGAGGATTGCCTGAGCTCACGGGATCAAGACCAGCCTGGGCAAGACCTCATCTCTACAATAAATAAAAATATTAGCTGGGTGTGGTGGCCCATGCCTGTGGTTCCAGCTACTTTGAAGGCTGAGGCAGAAGGATTGCCTGAGACCAGTATGTCATCGCTGCGGCGGCCATGAGTGTGCCACTGCACTCCAGCCTCGGCAACAGAGTGAGACTCCAACTCAAAAAAAAAAAAAAA